AACAGCAGAAGAGCTTCCGTCTGCGAGACAAACATTGCTTAGGGAGGCAGGACGAATGTTCTGCAGCAAGCTCTTATCTCTTGTTATGTTTCTTGCTGCTCCGCTATCCAGCAAACCATTGCTCACAGTCTCCGTCGTCACCAGCAGTCACCAATGTGACTTGATGCTTGTGTACGGAGGGAGAGGGTTTCTCCATTCCACCACCAAACCGATCCTGGTTTTTGCGCCTCCATTGCTGTGGACAATTTTTACAGAGGTGCCCTGTATTGCCACAACGAAAACAGGCTCTCTGTTTAACAGGTGCAGTTGATTTTTCAGACCTTGGCCGAGCTCCGGGCATACTGCCAACATAGGCTTTCTTATCAGGCTTGGCTCCATGCCCGGGAAGGACGTCTGCCAACTCTCTTCTCTGCAATCTTGTCTCCTCGTCAAAAATACGACCTAAAACATAATCCGTCTTCAAATCCTCGACCTTCAGACTTTCGAACGCTGAAATTAGCCCATTATAGATAGGTGGCAAACTACTGAGCAATATGTACATTTGGTCTTGCTCAGATATTATTTTCCCTCTTTGTGTCAGGGATTGGAAACACTCCATCAAGTTATCAACGTGAGACCTCACCGACTGGTGTGGCTCCATAACTGTCCTGTACATTTTCCTTGTGAGAGCAATTAAAGACGCTGCTGACTTTTGCACATGGACGGTCTTTAAAGCATTCCAAGCCGTCTTCGAAGACGTTTTGTCAGACACGTGTATCAATTGGCTATCTGACAAACTCAGCACTATTATTGCTAGAGCTTTTTCGTCTTTCTGGGTGTCTTCTGCCGTGGGTGCAGCGGGGGGCGCATTTACATAGTCCCACAACCCCTCTTTCTTCTAAAAGTGCTGCATACGCAAGGACCACACAGAATAGTTCTCATGTGTGAGTTTATCCACCAGCAAGGCTGTAGTAGCTTGAGCCATGCTCTTTTACTCACGCTTCTCCAGCTGCCCGTTGCCTCTGGAACTCCTCCAACACTCCAAGGTTAGAACGGTGATATTATATCCAGCCGTGTATCGGCTCTGCTCTGCTCCACTCTCCGCACCACTGGAAGATAACGACTTCCTCGCTGCCTCAAGAGTATCACGTCCTTCACAGACCGACTCTCCACTGCGCAGCGCCTCCAGCACTCTGGAACTCTGGGCACATCACCCTGACGGTAGTTTAAAGTTGAAAGTAGCAGACAGTAGCAGAGTACTTGTGGAAGAGTATTTACAGTTTCTTTTACAGAGCTATATACATACATGCAGCTTTGTAGCAGTTCACAAGACTGACTGGCAAAGTGCTTCGCAGGATATCCATATAACACACAGGGTACTTGGACAAGGACTTCACTCAATATATACAACCATTGTCCAATCATAGTTCAGTACTGTACAACTGCTTAGTCATTCTGACTTCTGCAGATATGATGCAACCTTAGTTATCATGTGACTGTCAACCTGTCACCTTAGATCATCAGGATCTGACAGTAGTACATGACATGCTGTCATCTTGCCTATATCAGCCACACTGTGAGAAGACAACTCCCTGGAAGAGACGGGAATGCCAGGATAAGTGGGGGGCCGCATGGAAGGAGGGAGGCCCGGCAGGAGACGGACGGGCTCCGTCCAGGAAGCCAGGAGGGCCCTTGGTTGGCAAGGCCGGAGCCGGGCTGCGAAGGAGAAGAGGTTCTGGAGGCCCTTCGTTCACGGGGTCACCACAAGTCGGAAGTGACTGGATGACACATCACGCACACAACTGAATGAGTTATTTTGATTCCTTCATCTGAGGCAAAAAATTGTGTCTGTTATGTGTCCAGAGTTTTAAAAATACTCTATAAATACACACACACACAAGATCGGCATATGTTGTTTCAACAAAATGTTGTTCTTGCATTTTAATTTTTGAAGAGCTGGCGGGAGCTGGATTCTCGGATCACTGATGCCACGAACGAAGCTAAAGACAATGTGAAGTACCTGTACACCCTCGAGAAAGGCTGCGATCCTCTGTACAACGGTGACCCTGTAAGTAGACGCTATTTGCTCACTAGACCCCCAGAAGCACTTTAGGTTCACATATGAATCATAGCCGACATCATTCTGAAAGGTCCATAATCCTAAAATGAGTTCAAAAACTGATATAGGAATGGGTAACTCCTTTGGGTGTTTGCTTCCTGTTATATGAAAGGAGTACTTTGAGTACAGTGGAATGTAGTTGCTTAAAGAAAATGGCCAATCAAGCATGATCTTTTCAGAGATGGGTAAGGGAGATACTTCAGAGAGGGGGACACAGGATGAAGCCAAGAGAATTCACCATTGGTTCTTCAGCATGGCTGCTTATTTTGCTTAATTTGAAGAGCCACATGTACGTTTGTCTGTTTTATATGGTCAGCCTTTGTTTGTTAAAGGAAGTGTGTGAGAAACTGCAGGAAACACTCCAGGGACTGACTGGGGTGTGTGTGTGTGTGTGTTTGTGAGACCTCAAGAGGCTGGGTTTTGTCTGTTAATTTGGCTAAGTGGTTTTCAGAGCTTAACCCTGGACAAAGAAAACATCATTTGTACGGGATACACGGAGGGCACTTCCAAGCTGGCTGTTGTGCTCTACAAATGCTGTCTGTCTTCACTGTCAGCTAATGTTGCAGAGGTTCATGAGAGAGCTTCAACGTATTTACGGCTTCTCTATTTTGGTGACTAGGTTCAATTTGGTAAATAAGGAGAGATCTGCAGTTATATTTGCAGATGAGAAACTTTAGATGTGTTCTCCAACACACACACACACCCATCACACCAGCCAGCTTGGCTTGGAGAAGGGATTTAACAAGACAAATGCCTTCTCCAAGATGGCTGGCGGGGCCACAGGATGGGGGCTTGGAGAATGCCTTTAACTTTAAATGTGTTCTCCAAGCCCCCTGCCCTCACTGCCATGCCAGCTTGGCTTGGAGAAGGGATTTAAAGAGACAAATGCCTTCTCTGAGCCAAGCCAGTCAGCCAGTGGGGCGGGGAGGGGGAGAAAGAGAGAGAGAGAAAGGAAGAAAGTGGAAGGAAAGCAAATAGAAGAGAAGAAGAAGAGATTGGATTTCTACTCTGCCCTTCACTTGGAGTCTCAGAGCGGCTTACAAACTCCTTTTCCTTCCCCTCCCCACAACAGACACCCTGTGAGGTAGGTGGGGATGAGAGAGCTCTGACAGAAACTGCTCTTGTTCAAAAGATGAGTTAATGATCACATGTTGTAAGTTGTATTTTTATAAAAGGAATTTAATGTTTGGAGAAAGTTCTCACGAAATGAAAGTTCTACTCCGGAGAATCTTGTCAAGATCTGGAATTGAACATCTAGGATTGGAATATTACAGAAATTGTACATTGTTGTATTTTGTGATTTTGTATTACTGTATTAACATAAGTACACAGTTAGAATATAAGTGCATTTGCACAATTGCAGCTTTCTTGTTATTTGTTGGTGACCATAAGGGCTGGACCCCTTTCTGTATGTTTATTCAGAATACCAGTTTGGCCTGGTTTAACAAGTTTGAAAAGAAAGTCTTTGTCAGCATTATGGAGGGAAGTTTTCTTTATTTACAGAAGAGCATGGGAAATATTATTTATTTACAGAAGAGCATGGGAAATATTCTTTTGGGGTGATTGACAGGTTTGATGTCATAAGTATTAATGTCTGGGCATATTGCATGATTGCAATCAGAGGAAAACCTTTCCTGCCCAGCCATGACGATAGGGGGGGGGGAGGTGGAACTGGCCTTTTGCTTATTGTTCTGGATATTTGGGTCATTGAATTGGATCCAATCATCAGGGAGGAGGCTCCAAGGGGAAACGACTCTCTGGGTAACTCCCACCGGAGATGGGCCTTCGTGTGATGGACGGAGGAGCTGCCTTTTCATTCCTTGCAAGCCCCTCACTCACTGCCATTCTGAGGCCAGTTGGATACAGGCTCCATCCTTCATTGCTAAGGCTGTGCTGACAAGAGCACATGTCCAGGGGAGAGAACGGGGAGGGTCCTGGGGCATTAAAGCATGCTGGGAAAACTTGCCCTCGTCATCTTTTTGCCTTTTAGGTGACCATGGTAGATGCTATCCCTGGCCTCATTCATGCCATTAAAATGATCCATAGCATTTCGCGCTATTATAACACCTCTGAGAAGATCACCTCCCTGTTTGTGAAGGTGGGTGTGCTCCTAGCTCTTCTCCCCCCCCCCCCCGTTTGGAAACACAGTTTGGCTACTGTGAAAATTGGCTGTTTAAAAAGCTCATCCTGTACCTGCTGTCCTCCACCTGTCTTTTTCTAGGTAACAAATGTCTCTGAGTTTGGTTTCAAGCTCCTGGAGTTTTCTTGCCTGGGGGGAAGGGGGGTCTTCAAAATCCTGCTTTTTATAGTTTACTGGCAAAAGGCCTCTGGTATTTTTTGTAGGTAACAAATCAAATGATCACAGCCTGCAAAGCATATATCACTAAGAATAATACTGCCACCATCTGGGATCAGCCACAAGATGAGGTTCTGGAAAAAATACACGCTGCTATAAGACTTAAGCAGGTAAGCTTGTAACTTGGTATAAGGTGTAACGAGAACCAAATTTTATGTCATCCTGTTTAAGAAACTGAGGGGACAGGGGAAGGAGCAGTGGGTGCAAAGAGATTGTCAAGAAAGAGTGAAAAATTCTCTTGAAAAGCGACTTTGACTTGTGCAAAGAACATGTCAGTGTAACAAAGGAATACCAATAATGGCTGCATCTACGCATTCTTGCATTCCTTGCCACTGAGCATGCTGTGTGGCTTTTACATGGGAGGAGGGGTTTTTGTGTGTATGTTCCTCCATTGGCTGTCGTTTTCGTGGCCTTTTAACCCTGGGGTGCCCTTGGAGGGCTTTTTGAGGGTTTTAGAAGATACTGGCTGCAGCACTAGAGCAGGGGTCCCCTTTTGCACCCGTGGCCACCTTTGGAGTCCTGAAAAAGGGTGTTCGGCACAACCACAGGAGGTGGAGCCAACCACAAACCTTCAGGGAGTGAAGTTATCCATAACTCATATAGTCGCTCTCCAGCATTTCGGCAGAAGCCTTGGTCAGCAGTGCGTGTTTCTGTATACAGACAGCCAGTTCTTCTGCTGTGGCCGCAGCCACAACAATTTTAAAAATCCACCCAGCCATTCTGATCTCCAGGAGTCAATCAGAAACTTGTTGGGCTCCAGGAAAGTTATCATCTCTGTGGACCCCTGTGCTGTAGCGATTGCCAATGTTAAAAACAAAAAAAGAGCCCTTTGATGGCGACGTGGGGAAAATGGCAGCCGGGAGGGACTGACGGAAGGGAAATGGCACCCATGTGGGCCGGACCTTGAAAAGGCATACCTTCCTGCCTGCGTGGTGTGATAACGTCCTTGGTTTATGCTCTTCCCCAAATAGGGTTGCCAAGTCGAAAATCGTCAGGAGCGGGGGACTCCCGTCTGGTGTCACCAGGAAGTGACGTTATGACACTGGGCACGGGGACATGACCATCCAAGGGGGGAACATAGAGTTTCCCCCTCAGATGGTCGTGGCCCCGCCCCCAGCGTGCCCGGCATCATAACGTCACTTCCTGGTGATGCGCACGCCGGGGTGGGGTTCCCCCGCCCCCCGGGGGGACTTGGCAGCCCTATCCCCAAAAGACGAGAGAAAAGCAATTTTGGGAAAG